CCAGGGTCTCTGAGCCCCTAGTGGGGTCCTGGCAACTCTGGACACGCGGAGGGATGCACTGAGTTCTGACACCCATGCCTTGGTTTCCCCAGGGACACAACAGGTGCCTGGAAGGAGCAGTCAGGGAATGTTTTCCAGGCCTTTTTTGCTGCAGAGCTCCTGCAGCAATGACTCCAATCTCCCCTGCTGAGCCTCCAGCCTCCCTCCCTGGGTAATGAAAGCCAAGCATCTCTCTGGGTGTCTCTGCGTGCCTGTAAATTCCTGGGGCCTATTAGGACCTAAAAAGAAAGTCAATTTTCCTGTCTTATCCTCTTCCCTGGCCTTTAGGAACAGACCCAAAGCCCACAGCAATCCCCCCTTCCCAGCCCCCTTGTTACCAACATCCCTGTGCATCCCAAGGCTCGCTGGTGGCCTGGGCAAAGCAGCACTTCAGGGACACTTTGGCAGCTCCTAATTTGCCCTATGCCACCCCTTGTCCCCAGAGAGGAGGTGTTTTGTTGTGTGCAAGCAGCACACGAGGTGCTCAGAGGGGATTTGTTGTCCCATTCCCAGGGGTACCATGAGGGCGGGGGGTGGATGTGTGGGATTTACAGCTCCAGGGAGCCCAGGGCCCTTTGGGGTCTGTATGGGAGGAGAAACACAACAACAAAACACTGAGATGTGTGCCAAGGGAATTCCCTCTGAGCTCTGATTCTGGAGTTCAGCAGCTGAAACTCCCATGGAATCTGGATGAGGGCAAACACCCTGTGGAAGGTGCTGCTGCTCGGTTTGCTGGGCCCAACTGCAAAATGCAGCTCCTGTTTCATCATCAGCCACAATAACTTGTGTTTCCTCTTCAATACCCAGCTGTTGGGGCTAAACGTTTGGTCCTGGGCATCCCACAGAACAATCCTGGACATCAGAGCAGCCCAGACCCGTTGGCTCCTCTGCCACATCCCCACTCTGCTGCTGCCACCCCAGGAGCCTGGGGCCCTTTGGGGTCTATATGGGAAAAAACAAGTCAACAAAACACTGAATGTGTGCCAAGGGAGTTCCATCAGAGCTCTGAACCTGGGGTGGCAGCAGCTGAAACTCCCTTGGAATCTGGATGAGGGCAAACACCCCGTGGGAGGTGCTGCTGCTCGGTTTGCTGGACCCAAATGCAAAATGAAGCTTCTGTTTCATCATCAGCCACAATAACTTGTGTTTCCTCTTCAATACCCAGCTGTTGGGGCTAAAAGTTTCGTCCTGGGCATCCCACATGGGATGGACATCAGATCAGCCCAGACCCACCAGCATCTCTACCACATCCCCACTCTGCTGCTGCCACCCCAGGGAAACCCTGAGTGCCCTCTGTGCACAAAGAGCCCCTGGCTGCACTTCCAGAGCCTGTTCCCACACACAGACAGGCATGGCACATCCTGGAGGGGGAATTTTTCCCTGCTGCATGACAGGTTTTGTCCTAGCACGGGTCAGAGAAAGCCCAGCCTTGATGGGTTTCATCTAATTTCAATTACAGTCGTTAAAGCTTTCGCTCACATGAGCTGAGCCTGTCCAAGAGACCTGGACTGACAGGCCATTAGGGAGAGGTTATTTATAGCAGGCCATGTTAATTTTACAGGATCACAGAGCAGTGATTCAGTGCCTGGCCTGGCTGAGAGGAATCACTCACAGCAGTAAGTGGGAGCTGACATGGAAACACCTCAGAGCAGCCAGGAGCTCCTGGGTCAGGGCAGGAACAGCGCTGGGAGGGTCACACCGAGGGGCTGGGGCTGGGGACCCACGTGATGCTGAATGATCAAATCATCCTGTTCAGACCCAGTTCGGTGTGAACTGATGGGTTGAGACAGGGAGGAGGTGAAGGAAATCCAGGGAAATGGCTGATTTGAGATGTGGGGAGAGTGGACATGGTGCTGAGTGATGCTGAAGGGAAAGGGCTCCTTTCCTGCAGTACCCTCAGGTTTTTCCAGCCCTGATTTGGGAGCTGTGAAGAGCCCACAATATGGAACAGCTCTGCCTTTTCCTTCTCTCTGCTCCATGGCTTTTTCTGGAACCACCAGGATGCCCAGTTCTGCAAAAGGGCTTTGCTCAGCCTTTATCTGCCCCAGCAAAGGGCCTGGAGACACTGAATGAAACATGCTGGAGATGAGGGAGGAGGAGGAACAGACAAAAAAATACAAAACCTCCTGCATTGTATTGAATTCCCTTGAATTTTAAAGTGCTTCACGCTTGAAGCGTTCTGGGTGGAAGAATAGAAATGGGGAGAGGGAGAAAAGACAGGACAAAAGAAGCATTTCCCAGGCATGGCAAAGGACAGTAGGAATTCCTCTGGCTCTGGAAGGGTGTGATCCAGGTGGTGCTGGGGGACTTCTCCCTCAGGCTTAGAGCAGAGCCCTGCTGAGGACAGCGAGTCCAAGGCTGCTCTGGGGCTCTGAGATCCTCTCCCCTTCTAAGAGCCCACGGAAATCTCATGGTCATCCTGAAATGAGGTCGAGCAGGGCTCTGGGGTGGCTGCAGGACAGGGCAGTGGCAGGAGGGGGCTGGCATGGGAATGCTGAGGACACAGCCATGGACAGATGGACCAGCTGTCCATGGCTCTGCTCCCCATGTCCCAGTGTCCCCAGGAACACCAGGGCGAGCAGGGAACACGTCCCAGTGGGGCTCTCCCAAGCCAGGCCTGCTCTGTCCCAGAGCTTTCTCCATGCCCACGAGTGATGGAGGCATCAGAGGCAATTTGTGGGGATTTTGGCCCAAAATGCTCAGCATCACACCCTCCAGAGCCCACTAGGAAAGGGGGATTTTCCCCAGGAGAACTTTTCTGGAGATCTGGGCTGATGTTTTCCCTCCCAGGGGTAGAGAGGCTCCTCCTGCTCGTGCAGCTGGGCTGTGCAGAGCCACACACTGCAAACAGCACAGACAAGCCAGTGCTGAGGGGAAGGACAATTTTCCTGGGATAAATATAATAAAGGGACCATAACTGCCCTGGAAAGTGACCCCTGGAGTGCTCCAGGCCCCTGTCCCTGAGTCACCCACCCCATCTCCATTGCAGGCAGTGCGCATACCCACATTCTCCTGCTGACCTCACCCTGTGGGTGATGTCAACCTCTGACAGAATTGGGCACAACCCAATTAAACCTGACCCCTGCTGCCCTTCTCCTGGCCAGCCAGGGCACCTCAGCCCTGCCTGCCTGTCTGCCCAGCTCCCTCATCACAATCCCCCTGCACACGGGGCTCCCCTTTTTTATGCACTCCCGCAGCATCTCCCACAGCCCTGACCTCTGCTGAGCCGTGCAGGCCATGGAATAATCTGATAATCACAGCGCTGATAGCAATAATCACCATAATAACCCTGCTTCTGGCCAGGGCACCTGTCACCTGGGCACAGAGTGGCACTGACAACCAGCTATTACACACCTACTGCAATTAGAGGGGTGCCAGGGCTGGGTGTGAGCAGGGGAGTGGGGGAAGCAGGAAAACAAACCCAGCTCTCCCACAGGGGAGCTTTACTGGAGCAGCAAGGCAAGGGTTTAACTGCCAGCCCAAAGAGCAATCCATGACAGAGGGGCAGAGTGGTTTGGGCTGGTTTGTTCCTCACCCAGGTGTTGGGTGGCTGAGTAGATTCCCCACACTTGCTGGGGTTTTGTTTCC